ACAGCAGGTGGGGCGCTCCAAACCCACCCCGGCAGCACCCCAGCTGCTCTGCCCCCGGCTTCCTCAATTCAGCCACTGGTCAGTTTTAGCAGCGGCTGAATCGGGGAAGCTGGGGGCAGAGCAGCTCCAATGGTCCGGTTGCCCAGAGCACTTCCGGGTTCCTGACGGTGCCAGACCATCAGGAGTGCCGGACCATCAGATGCCAGACCATCGGCGTTTCACTGTAAATCTTTTCTAGAGCTTCAGTTACAAATGCTTTAGGAACCAAATAAATAGGCATTTTGCCAAGGTCCTAGTCACTTACTATGAACTTTTCTCCCCCTATCACCGGAGACAATACTGAGAAGCAACTCAACTATACTGTGGATCAGTGTTCCCTGTAAGCTGTGTGCTTAGATGGCCACCTAGAAGAGATTCAAATACTGTCCAGATTCAGAGTGCCCACATCTGGCACCAACCAGCAGCAAATGTTTCTACTGGTGCTGCACATCCAAACATGCCTTGAAGCACATAACAAAATTTATTCTGCACATGGATCGAAAAATTAGAGGGAACATTGACTGTGATCATATGCAGTTCAGTTAGTTGCACAGTCAGTTCAGGGTCTGCTGCTCTTCATCATTTCTCAGTGGCGATTTTAAATCAATACTGTTTCTTTGTTAGCATGCCCAGTAAATTGGAGAGTTCTCTCCTGATGGCTGAGCTTTCGCCATGTCATAATGGAGGGGTGGGGAAAAGCAAAACGAATGTGAGAAGTGATTACGTTAGCAAATGGTCGCTTGTCTCTAAAGGCTCCAATAAATCTGTCTTCATTCTGTCAAACTAAACCAATATCAAATTGGATGACAAAACAAACATCAGGAATGATAGAAACAGAAATAGAAAGAGATAGACTACAATTAAATAACAGCATCAAGTGAAATTCCACAGCAGGGTACATCTGATGATGCAGAATCCAAACAAGAGATTCTCCCATTATATTCTCCTCTGATCCATTCAAAACTGCTTCACTCAGCACTCTCATTAATGTCATTTACAAAAGCTTTAGCATCCTAGCTAACTTTCCAACAGACAAAATGGGATTTAAACTCCAAAGGCTCTCACTGTGTTTGGGATGCCTTTAAATTCCCCATTCAGGTCTTTGACACTTTCATCTCCAGGGACAGTGAGATAGTGACTCTGATTTAGGATTAAAGAAATCAAAGCATCACCCCTAAGCACAGACAATGAGAACATGGCATTTCATGACACTTTCATGGTATGTCTTCTCTGCCACCCTGCTTCAAACTAGCGTGGCTAATGTAGTCATTCGAACTTGCAAATGAAGCCCCGGATTTAAATATCCCGGGTTTTATTTGCATGTTCCTGGGCGCCGCCATTTTTAAATGCCGTGTAGTTCAAACTACCTGCCCGCGGCTACACGCGGCACGGGCTAGGTAGTTCGAATTAAAGCTTCTAATTCGAACTACTGTTACTCCCCCTGCAATGATGAATAACGGTAGTTCAAATTAGGAGCTTTAATTCGAACTACCTAGCCCGTGCCGCATGTAACCGTGGGCAGATAGTTCGAACTACGGGGCATTTAAAAATGGCGGCACCCAGGAACATGAAAATAAAGCCCGGGATATTTAAATCCCGGGCTTTATTTGCAAGTTCAAATGACTACATTAGCCACGCTAGTTCGAACTAGGGTGGCAGTGTAGACATATCCTCAGAGATTGAGGGACAGAATGTGAAAATAAACACTGCATGGCTCAGATAGAAGGTAACACTTTGGGAGTGATGTGGGAGGGAATCTCTGAGTTAGCCAATCCTCATCCTTTGTCATGGAGAGGGAAAAGACTTTTCCTGCCTCAGCTCCTCTTAATTTAAATATAACTAGGGGGCTGTGCCCGCTGCTTGCTGAGCTCACCAACGCCCCTCTCACAGGTAGTAGGCAACCCTGATTCTCCTCCCCGGCCACGGGGGAGGGCTGAGCTGTGGCCCCATCAGCCCGGGCCCTTTCTCCCTCCTCCCCTCCCCACCGCCAGCCTGGGTCCCTTCTTCTTCCCCATCCCCCGCCAGACTGGGTCCCTTCTCCCTCCCCTGCCATTCCAGCCTAAGCCTTCATTTTCCCTCCTCCCACTGCTGTGCCAGTCTGGCCCCTTCATAAGCATTCCCAGTTCACACCAGCTCTGGGAGCTAACCCTGCTGCAGCTCTGTGCTCCCCCATCTCGCAGAGATGGGGCTGGAGGGAACTGGCTTTTAAGCAAGCTTCCCCCAGCATCAGCTCCTGCTCTTCTCCCCTTCCTACTTCTCTCTGATAGAGGCAGCAGAGAGGAGGGGCCTCGACCACCTACTAACTGGGTAGTCAATTAGTCGACTACTCCTTTACAAGTCCTATGTCAAACCAATCTGATAGCTTTCTTTGATATGATAACAAATCTTGTGGCTACTGAAGAAGTGGTGGACATGGTATACCTAGACTTTAGTAAAGAATTTGATATGGTTTTGCATGACCTTCTTATCAATAAACTAGGGAAATACAACCGATATGGGGCTACTGTAAGATGGGTGCATAACTGGCTGGATAACCATTTGGGACTGGTTCTATTCAATATCTTTATCAACGATTTAGATGAGGGCACAGAGAGAACGTTTATTATGTTTGCAGATGATAGCAAGTTGTGAGGGCTTGCAACTGCTTTTGAGGATAGGTTCATAATTCACAATTATCTGGACAAACTAGAGAAATAGTCTGAGGTAAATAGGATGAAGTTTCATAAGGACAAATGCAAAGTAGTCCACTTAGGAAAGAACAATCAGTTTCTCACACACAGAATGGAAAGTGACTGTCTAGGAAAGAGTACTGCAGAAAGGGAATCTACGGATTATAATGGACCACAAGTTAAATATGAGTCAGCAGTGTGATGCTATTGCCAAAAAAGCAAGGATGATTCAGGGATACATTCACAGGAGTGTTGTGAGCAAGACATGAGAAGTCATTCTTCCTCTCTACCCTGTGTTGATTAGGCCTCAATTGGAGTATTGTGGCCAGTTCTGGGCACCACGTATCAAGAAGGATGTGGAGAAACTGGAAAAGGTCCAGAGAAGAGATTCAAATATCTGAAAGCGTGTTACAAGGAGGAGGGAGAAAAATTATTGTCCTATCATCAGAGGTCAATATCATCAAGGAGAAGAAGCAATCAGCTTAAATTGCAGCAAGGGAGGATTAGGTTGTACATTAGAAAAAACTTCCTAACTGTCAGGGTGTTAAACATTGGAATAAATTGCCTAGGGAGGTTGTGGAATCTCCATCAGTGAAGATATTTAAGAGCAGATTGGATTGACATCTCTTAGAAATGATCGAACGGTGCATGGTCCTGCCATGGGGGGCAGGGGACTGGACCTAATGATCTCTCAAGGTGCCTTCCAGTTCTAGTATTTTATGATTCCACGATTGTTGACTATCAACACTGCAATAGGAAGAACAATATAAATGTGATGCTCCCAATTTCCTAGAGGGAGGAATCTACTCCCATTACTCATGGGACAACAGAGTGGATGGAAAAGATAAGAAGGTCTACCCCAAAACAGGGCAAACTGCAAAAGGCAAAAATGACCAAATTACTTGGACAAGTTGAGGGATCATGGTTCAAATAGTTCAAACAGTTGTAAAGATTACTACAGAAGAATTAGCAAAAGAAAATACGTTTTCATAGCTCTAAAGGTGTTTATTGTGCTGAGCTCCCTTGTAAATTCTCTAATATGTAACGGCTGACGTCTGAGTGAAAGTTTTTCCACCTTTATGGCATTCATAGGATCTCTCCCTTGTGTGGATTCCCTAATGAGTATTGAGGTATTAGTGCTGAGTGAACTCTTGCCCACACTCACAGCATTAATGGGGTTGCCTCACCTGTGTGGATTCTCTGATGCCTAATAAGGGTTGAGCTGTTAGTGAAGCTTTTTCCACACTCACAGCATACATAGGGTTTCTCTCCTGTGTGAATTCTCTGATGAATAGTAAGAGTTGAGCTATGAGTGAAGCGTTTTCCACACTCACAGCATTCATAGGGTCTCTCTCCTGTGTGAATTCTCTGATGAGCAGTAAGAGCTGAGCTGTAAGTGAAGCGTTTTCCACACTCACAGCATTCATAGGGTTTCTCTCCCGTGTGGATTCTCTGATGAGCAGTAAGGGATGAGCACTTAGTGAACTTTTTCCCACACTCACAGCATTCATAGGGCGTCTCTCCCATGTGGACTCTCTGATGAGTAGTAAGGGCTGAGCACTTAGTGTACTTTTTCCCACACTCATAGCATTCATAAGGTCTCTCTCCCATGTGAACTCTCTGATGAGTAGTAAGGTCTGAGCGTTCATTGAACTTTTTCCCACACTCACAGCATTCATAGGGTTCCTCACCCATATGGGTTCTCTGATGCCTAATAAGGGCTGAGCTGTGAATAAAGCGTTTCCCACACTCACAGCATTCATAGGGTCTTTCTCCAGTGTGGATTCTCTGATGAGTAGTAAGGGTTGAACTTTGAGTGAAGCGTTTTCCACACTCACAGCATTCATAGGGTCTCTCTCCTGTGTGAATTCTCTGATGAGTAGTAAGGGCTGAGCTGTGAGAGAACTTTTTCCCACACTCACAGCATTCATAGAGTTTCTTATGTGTGTGGACTTTCTGATGCCTAATAAGGGCTGAGCTGTGAGTGAAGCGTTTTCCACACTCGCAGGATTCATATGGTCTCTCTCCCATGTGGATTCTTTGATGAGTAGTAAGGGTTGAGCTGTGAGTGAAGCGTTTTCCACACTCACAGCATTCATAGGGTCTCTCTCCTATGTGGACTCTCTGATGGGTAATAAGGTCTGAGCACTCAGTGAATTTTTCCCCACATTCACAGCATTCATAGGATTGCTCTTCTGTGTGGATTCTCTGATGTGTAGTAAGTGCTGTGCTGTGCGTGAACTTTTCCCCACACTCACAGCATTCATAAAGTTTCTCACCTGTGTGGATTCTCTGATGCCTAATAAGTGCTGAACTGTAAGTGAAACGTTTTCCACACTCACAGCATTCATAGGGTCTCTCTCCTGTATGGATTCTCTGGTGAGTAGTAAGGGTTGAGCTGTGAGTGAAGCGTTTTCCACACTCACAACATTCATAAGGTCTCTCTCCTGTGTGGATTCTTTGATGAGTATTAAGGGCTGAGCTGTGAGTGAAGCGTTTTCCACACTCACAGCATTCATAGGGTCTCTCTCCTGTGTGGATTCTCTGATGCGTAATAAGGGCTGAGCAATCAGTGAACTTTTTTCCACACTCACAGCATTCAGAGAGTTTCTCACCTGTGTGGATTCTCTGATGCCTAATAAGGGTTGAGTTGTGCGTGAAGCGTTTTCCACACTCACAACATTCATAGGTTCTCTCCCCCATATGTATTCTCTGATGATAGATCAGGGATGAGCTTTCAGTTAAGTTTTTCTCATACTCACCACACTCATAGGGTTTCTCAGTTGTGTCAATTCTCTGATGCCTAATAAAGGTTGAGCTGTGAATGAAACCTTTTCCACTCTCAGTGCATGTATTTTTTCTCTTTCCCCAGAGAATTTTCTGTTGGGTTGTGGAGTCCATGAGGTCCTTCCGAGAGCCATGACAGTAAACTGATTTACTCATTTTTTCTCCTACCTGGTTTCTCTGCTCTCCCTCTGATTTTTGCTGACTCTCACAGGCTTTTCCCTGTTCATGACTCCTGGATATATTCACGTTGGATCTTTGTGATAATAATCCACATTGTTCCACTTGATCACCATCTGTCTGCTGCGAATTCTGCTCCACGTTGTCACTCACCATTGCATCACCTGCTGTAATACAGAAAAAAAACCTCAAACACGGATGAAAAGGGGAAGATCAAACCAAAGTAAGTGCTGGATAGATGTCAAATAAAAACAAGGAGCTGAATTCACCCATATTCTTCCCCCAAAGAGAAAAGTAAGGTGATCAATTTTGCCTGCATATCCCATCCATATTCTCAGGCCTTGTCTATACTTCCAAGAAGTCAATGCTCCAGACATTGCTCTTCTAGGGTTCAATTTAACTGGTCTAAATTCAATACTGAGTCCACCCCTGTTAATCCCAGAACTCTTTGGAGTTGTGAGAAGTAAGGGAAGTAAACGGGAGAGTCCTTTCTGTTGACCTCCCATAGTCGGGCTACCCCAGAAATTTGGTTTAAGGTATGTTAACTCCAGCTACACAAGTCTTGTAGTTGGTGTTGTATATCTTAAGTTGAATTTCTGGTGTAGTGTAGACCTGCCCTAAGTGTGAAGGGAGGAAGCTACTACCAAGTGTCAGAGAGGATCTGTGGGAAGCCATGAGCCACATCTGACTTAAGGATATAACTAGGGCTGTCAAGCGATTAAAAAAAATAATCACAATTTTAAAATTAATTGTGATTAATAACACTGTAAAAAATAATAAGAATACTATCTATTTAAATATTTTGGATGTTTTCTACATCTTTTAATATATTGATTTCAATTACAACACAGAAAACAAAGTGTTTAGTGCTCTCTTTATATTTATTTTTATTACAAAACATTTACACTGTAAAAAAACTTCAGTTCGCCTCACTGAAGTATTGTAGTGCAAACTGTATCATGAAAGCTGAACTTACAAATGTAGAATTATGTAAACAAGAATAACTTCACTTAACAATAAAACAATGTAAAACTTTAGACCATACAAGTCCACTCAGTCCTACTTATTTTTCAGCCAATCACTAAGACAAACAAGCTTGTTTACATTTGTGGGAGATAATACTGTGTGCTTCTCATTTACAATATATCACCTGCTAGTGAAAACAAGCTTTCACATGGTACAGCATAGCAAGATATTTATGTGCCTGATGCGCTAAAGATTCATATGCCCCTTCATGCTTCGACCACTATTCCAGAGGACATGCATCCATGCTGATGATGGGTTCTCCTCGATAACGACCCGAAACAGTGTGGATTGAAGCATGTTCATTTTCGTCATCTGAATCAGATGCCACCAGCAGAAGATTGATTTTTTTTGGTGGTTTGGGTTTTCTAGTTTCTGCAGGGGGGGTAGACTCTGCTGTGGACAGTGCAGAGTCTGGGGAGGGGAAGGGGTCAGCCCCCAAATGCAGGTGGCACAGGACTCGGGGTGGAAGTCAGCCCCCAATCTCGGGGAGGGGTCAGCCCCTAGGCTGGAGGGGTAGACCCCACCATGGGCAATGCAGAGTTCGGGAGGGGGGACTCAGCCCCAGAATCAGATGTGGGGGGAGGATCAGTCCCAGAGGCAAAGAAAAGGTGGCTTGAGTGAGCTCTGCCAGAGCGGAAGGGGTGGCTTGGGTAAGCCCCCGCCCCCAGCTGTTTTATTTTAAAAAAATATGGTCACCTGGGAGGGGAAAGGGATGGGTGTCAGGGTCTTTACTTCTTGTTTACTTCTCCGCTGGAGTTGGGACAGCTTCAGTTTTTTTTCCCTTTCTCGCGGCTTCTTTTTTCTGTGCGCCCTCTGGGGGCGGTTTGCATTACTGCGCCTTACCAGAGCTGGTCTCCGGAGCACCTCATGCTGGTTTGCCAACCTCTGTGATTAATATGCATTAATTTTTTAATGTGTTAATTCTGCCCTGTGTTAATGCCCATTAATTGACAGCCCTAGATAGAACATTTGCTGAGGGTAAATCTAAAACCAAAAAGCTTACAAGCTCTTCACAGGGTATCCCAGATACT